CTGATAAGTTAGCAAAAGATGCGTTACAAAGGAAATAGCAATACCAGTTTCACTTGGGAAAGGAGAAGGAAAAGCAATAAGAAGGGTATGGAAATATGGCAGAAAAGGTGGGAGGAAGATCAGAAAGGGAGGAGATACCACAAGTTACAGAAATCAGTCATAAAGATCTATACAGAAAGGAACAGACGGGAGATCATCATCACTAGACTCAGACTGGATCATACAGGATTAAAGGGCACAATGTTTATAATGGGAAAAAGCGAAGTTGAAGAATGCAGGTGGTGTGGAGTGAAAGAAAAATGTGGAACACATATTACACTGCAACATGTACAAAACAGGGAGGGAAAAACTAAGAGACAGGGTCAGAGAGGCAGGAAGGGAGTGGAGCCTGATGGGGATACTGGGAACAGAAGGTGAGGGGGTAAGAGCTACCAGGAAGGCCATTCTTAAGTATTTTAGTGAAACAGGATTGATTGGAAGAATTTAAAACAACGTAAATACAATGGTATAATTCCACAAGTGGTGATAGGATGATGTGGTGATACACACTCTTGTACAGTAGGTGGCGGTATGCACCTTAAAATTGTTTGCAATCCGCCAATAACCGAGAGAAGAAGAAGCCGACTCCAAGCTGTCCGACTTCAGGCGAGCTTTTTGAGACCTCCCCCGGCTGCAATCGGCTATTCTCGTCTACTTTCGAGCTGACCCCACGTGACACCGGCTATATATGCCGGTGTCGTCAGAGGATCTGTTCCTTTTCACGCTGCGCGAGAGTATCGTGGCCACATTCTTGTATGCTACAGCGTTCGGTTTGGTTTGAACGTCTGATCTGAGGGATTTCTCTGCATACAGCTGGCCGCGTGCAGCTTCGCGACTGATCCAGTCGGAGCCGCGGGTTGTTGACTCGTCCTCCAGGAGCTGTGGCCGGCTGTGCAGAGCTTCGACGGAAAGGTTTGTGTCAACTTTGTTGGTGATGGCTGTGTTCCCGCACCCTCTCCCAGCTAAATTGTCCTGATTGCTGTCTTGTTTATTGTTTGGCTTAGACTTTCTGGTGACGACAGTGTTCCCGCTTCCTCTCCCATAAAGTTGCCCTTATTGTGCTATGTTTTACTTTTTTGCATAGCTGATTGTGGCAGCGTTGTCCCCGAGCTATCTTTAGCATTTTGAGTTTCCAGCTTTAGCTGCGTGTCTCGTTTAATTTAGTTCAGTAGCGTGGCTCAGCCTAACTATATCGCTGTTATTTATGGGTTAAATGCAGAGAATAATTGTCACTGTGTGCTCTGCATTTGTGACCATTAAAGAGGGCATTTCTTGGCATCTGCAGGCAGCATGGAGAACTGGATACAGCGTGGGAGGCGGGGCCTCATTCATTCCTATGAGAGTTGCTCATTGGCGCATGAAGATAAAATGGCCCAACTTTTGAGAGAGCGAAACGTCACAGATTACCCGTCATGCCTGAGAAGTACCCGTATGTGCGCTCATAGAGCATGCGCAACTTTAACCACGTCAGTAGGGACGAAATAAAACGATAGTTACGTCTGTAACTACGGTTCTATGAGTCCCGGATGACCGCCAGAGTATCTTGTCACTCAGAATTCTTGTGTGCTCGCGAGAAGATTCTGGGAACAGATCCTCTGACGACACTGGCAGAGATAGCCGGTATCACGTGGGGTCACAGGTGTCAGTGGCTGCATCTCACTTCGGTTAAATGAAATCCTTGCGTCGTTTCCCTGCGTTTAGTCCCTCCCACCAGGGAAGCATGGAGAGATGCAAGGAAACCATGAGAAGCAGGGAAATGAGCTTTAAGAGCAATGAGACGTCCTTTCCTCCGGAGCGTCACGTGAAGCGACGTCCGTTTGTGACTCCGCACAGCTGATCGTCTGACAGCAGCCAGCTCTGTCCCCGTTATTTTCACAAACACCCCCGCCACACATTTACCGACATAAATTTGTATCATCCCAAATAAATAAAATAAAATAAGAACTCATTCTCAAAAAAGATAAACGCCACTCTCAAAATGTATAAACGAACAATAGTTTGATTAATATTGATTAGAGTGCACAATATAAATAAAATAATTGAGAGAAGAAAAATATATGTTATCTATCAAAACCCAGTTGGATTAACATTCATTGGATTGCACACTTTGTTTGTGTGGATATGTAGCAAATTCACATTTTAAATAGTACTTAAAGGTGGGGTATGTAATTTTGGAGAAACCAGCTCGAGTGCGCTAGAATTTGAAAGTACACAATCGGAAAAAATCTGCCTCTTCCTTACAGAGCCCCTCCTCCAACACTCACGAACGCGCACATGCTTGTGCTTATTGTTAAATAATAAACCCTTTTTGTCTGCTTATTTGAATATAAATAATCCTCTAGCTTGGAACACTATGCAAAAAATATTGAAACTCAGCATTTTGATTCCCTTGCATCATTTTAAAGCACGACTGGATGAAATATTATTGGATACCTGTAAATGTAAATAGATGCTAATGTATACCCCTGTATTTATGTTGTGATGTCCTTTTTGTTTTCTGTTTGTTTTTATATGTGTAACTCAATGTACCACAGGTCTCCCTTGTAAAAGAGATCGTTGATCTCAATGGGATTTTTAACCTGGATAAACAAACAAACAAACATAAAGCCCAGTATCTGGATATGATGACAAACCCTTTATTGAAAAAAGATGATGCGTTTGTTTTAATTTCTGATCCAGATATGCCAAATGATGTTTAGCTAAGTGGCACAGTTGAGTGTTTTGCCATTTAAGTCTGTGCAAACCACACTGCCAATGTTTTTTCGCTTTGCCATTCATTGTTTTTAGTACATGAAAAATGTCCTTTTCCTCATGACAGAAGGTTTCTAAAAGTTGTAATACATTCCACCTATCGTGGAACGAGAACACATGGGCTCAATAATCAAGTCCAGTATATGTCATTTAACCTGTGTTAAATCAATGTTCTTCTAGGTGCAGAGATGCAGCCGTACGTGGGTGTGGTTCTGCCAAACCTGGTGGAGATCATCAACAGACCCAACACACCCAAGACTTTGCTGGAAAACACAGGTACACACACTGTCAGACACAGTTTAGGTTGTATGTACTTCAAACGTTGGGAAGCATTTGAGTGTCAGAGGGAGTTGACGTTAACTTGTTTCGCCTCCCTGTGTGCAGCCATTACCATCGGCAGACTGGGTTACGTCTGTCCCCAGGAGGTGGCGCCACAGCTGCAGCAGTTCATCAGACCATGGTGAGTTTATTGTCATTCTGATGTCATGAAATCACAAGTTTACTGATATTAAAATGAGACACTCACTTTTCTGTTTGAATCCCAGTAGCCCTTATTGCAATACATTTGTATGAACTTTAATTCAGAAAGGACCATTCTTTTTGGTTTACAGAAGAAAAGGAAGTTTATTGAGACAAAATATGGATGAATAAACCTTCCACTTTTGTCCACCCCCCTTTCCCAGGTGCACATCGTTGAGGAATATCCGAGATAACGAGGAGAAGGACTCGGCCTTCAGGGGGATCTGCGTGATGATCGGTGTGAACCCTGCAGGCGTGGTGCAGGTGAGCAGATGTGTAATAAAAGCTGTAGATGCTACAGAGGACGTCCAGCTGACTCCTTTCTGGAAATGATGACACACCCAGCTCATTGATTTATAATGATACCTTATGTTCCTATATTTTCTGATCCAGAATCACACTTTACACCCCTGACCCTGTTCATTTGAGCTCTGAATTTACTCTAAACTTCTTCTCTCTCTCTCTCTTTCTCTCTCTCTCTCTCCAGGACTTCATTTTCTTCTGTGACGCTGTGGCCTCCTGGGTCAACCCTAAGGACGACCTGAGAGACATGTTTTATAAGGTGAGAGCCTCGTCATCAGGAGTACCATCACTGTTCCCATCCTTTCACACTCAAGGACCTCATGTTAGATGATTAATGTTTTCAATTAAATGTTCCTCAATTGAGTGCTCGCTCGCCACACTCTGTGATGATCACCTTACAGACATTCGAAATCTGATTAAAACGTGCGGATGACTTTTGAGTCTGAGAAGTGTGTGTGTAGAGCTTACTGTTTCAAGGAGGGAGAGAGCAGTTTGTAAATCATACATGACGTTGTAAAGGCAGAACTTGTGCAGTGTAAAAGTGACTGGATGTCTTTCTGTTCGTATTGTAACCTGTGTGTTCGTGTCCTCCCTCCAGCTGAGTTCATGCCCATCCTGGGACTCAACCTGAACCCAGAGTTTATCTCGGTGTGTAACAACGCCACCTGGGCCATTGGAGAGATCGCCATGCAAATGGGTAAGTGTTTGTGCTTATTGTTAAATAATAAACCCTTTTTGTCTGCTTATTTGAATATAAAGCCCAGTATCTGGATATGATGAAAAACCCTTTATTGAAAAAAGATGATGCGTTTGTTTTAATTTCTGATCCAGATATGCCAAATGATGTTTAGCTAAGTGGCACAGTTGAGTGTTTGCCATTTAAGTCTGTGCAAACCACACTGCCAATGTTTTTTCACTTTGCCATTCATTGTTTTTAGTACATGAAAAATGTCCTTTTCCTCATGACAGAAGGTTTCTAAAAGTTGTAATACATTCCACCTATCGTGGAACGAGAACACATGGGCTCAATAATCAAGTCCAGTATATGTCATTTAACCTGTGTTAAATCAATGTTCTTCTAGGTGCAGAGATGCAGCCGTACGTGGGCGTGGTTCTGCCAAACCTGGTGGAGATCATCAACAGACCCAACACACCCAAGACTTTGCTGGAAAACACAGGTACACACACTGTCAGACACAGTTTAGGTTGTATGTACTTCAAACGTTGGGAAGCATTTGAGTGTCAGGGGGAGTTGACGTTAACTTGTGTCGTCTCCCTGTGTGCAGCCATTACCATCGGCAGACTAGGTTACGTCTGTCCCCAGGAGGTGGCGCCACAGCTGCAGCAGTTCATCAGACCATGGTGAGTTTATTGTCATTTTGATGTCCCGATTGAACATCATGACTCTGCTTTTCCAGTGCATGCAGGTATGAGCCAGTGGTTTCTAGTTTCTCTTCTTTTCAGTGATGGAGAAATATATTTTGTGAAACTCGACCTACTTGTGAAAAAGGGGCCATTTGCTGATTGACTATGTACATTTTGTCCGAGTTCAGGTCTAAATTCATATCGTTTCCTTTGGACCAACTACAGTTTTCCACTCTTTCAGCAAGTTGTACATTAACTTAAAGTAAATAGTTGGTTTTTCATACAGATTTGCACAAACTAATTGTAGCATACTCCAACCTAAAAAAAGTGTTTTTTTTATTTATTGTTTTTATACAAATGGATGCACTTTAAAACTAATGCCCAATGTCTGGAGATGATGAAAAACCCAGCTCATTGACACAAGATGATACATTTTGTTCCTATATTTTCTGATCCAGATATGGCACAAAAGTTTCCACTTTGTCCATAATGGTTTTCTCTGTAACTTGAACATTTTCCATAGTTCAGAACGGTGATTTCTAGTTTCTCTCTTTTTATGAACGGAGAAAAAGTCAACCAAAAATGTACAGGAACTTTTATTTATTTTTAAGGATAACACTAAAGTGTCTGTTTGTTGCAGGACACGATGCCCGAGGTGAGGCAAAGCTCCTTCGCTCTGCTGGGGGATCTCACCAAGGCGTGCTTCCTGCATGTTAAGCCCTGCATTGGTGAGTTTTCATCACAGCACTGACTTACAATGCCATTACAACGCCTGTCCTCTACTATCTGGCTATCAGCAGTTACCAGCATTGACTGTTTTAATCTCTGTAAAAGCCTTTTATACGGGCACTAAATGTTCCTCCCCAATTTAGTGAATGATGATCACCTTACAGACTTTCAAAATCTGATTTAAAACGTGCGGATGACTTTTGAGTCTGAGAAGTGTGTGTAGAGCTTGCTGTTTCAAGGAGCGAGAGAGCAGTTTGTAAATCATACATGAAGTTGTAAAGGCAGAACTTGTGTAGTGTAAAAGTGACTGGATGTCTTTCTGTTCGTATTGTAACCTGTGTGTTCGTGTCCTCCCTCCAGCTGAGTTCATGCCCATCCTGGGACTCAACCTGAACCCAGAGTTTATCTCGGTGTGTAACAACGCCACCTGGGCCATTGGAGAGATCGCCATGCAAATGGGTAAGTGTTTGTGCTTATTGTTAAATAATAAACCCTTTTTGTCTGCTTATTTGAATATAAAGCCCAGTATCTGGATATGATGAAAAACCCTTTATTGAAAAAAGATGATGCGTTTGTTTTAATTTCTGATCCAGATATGCCAAATGATGTTTAGCTAAGTGGCACAGTTGAGTGTTTGCCATTTAAGTCTGTGCAAACCACACTGCCAATGTTTTTTGGCTTTGCCATTCATTGTTTTTAGTACATGAAAAATGTCCTTTTCCTCATGACAGAAGGTTTCTAAAAGTTGTAATACATTCCACCTATCGTGGAACGACAACACATGGGCTCAATAATCAAGTCCAGTATATGTCATTTAACCTGTGTTAAATCAATGTTCTTCTAGGTGCAGAGATGCAGCCGTACATGGGCGTGGTTCTGCCAAACCTGGTGGAGATCATCAACAGACCCAACACACCCAAGACTTTGCTGGAAAACACAGGTACGCACACTGTCAGACACAGTTTAGGTTGTATGTACTTCAAACGTTGGGAAGCATTTGAGTGTCAGAGGGAGTTGACGTTAACTTTTTTCGTCTCCCTGTGTGCAGCCATTACCATCGGCAGACTGGGTTACGTCTGTCCCCAGGAGGTGGCGCCACAGCTGCAGCAGTTCATCAGACCATGGTGAGTTTATTGTCATTCTGATGTCATGAAATCACAAGTTTACTGATATTAAAATGAGACACTCACTTTTCTGTTTGAATCCCAGTAGCCCTTATTGCAATACATTTGTATGAACTTTAATTAATTCAGAAAGGACAATTCTTTTTGGTTTACAGAAGAAAAGGAAGTCATTGGGACAAAATATGGATGAATAAACCTTCCACTTTTGTCCACCCCCCTTTCCCAGGTGCACATCGTTGAGGAATATCCGAGATAACGAGGAGAAGGACTCGGCCTTCAGGGGGATCTGCGTGATGATCGGTGTGAACCCTGCAGGCGTGGTGCAGGTGAGCAGATGTGTAATAAAAGCTGTAGATGCTACAGAGGACGTCCAGCTGACTCCTTTCTGGAAATGATGACACACCCAGCTCATTGATTTATAATGATACCTTATGTTCCTATATTTTCTGATCCAGAATCACACTTTACACCCCTGACCCTGTTCATTTGAGCTCTGAATTTACTCTCAACTTCTTCTCTTTCTCTCTCTCTCTCTCTCTCCAGGACTTCATTTTCTTCTGTGACGCTGTGGCCTCCTGGGTCAACCCTAAGGACGACCTGAGAGACATGTTTTATAAGGTGAGAGCCTCGTCATCAGGAGTACCATCACTGTTCCCATCCTTTCACACTCAAGGACCTCATGTTAGATGATTAATGTTTTCAATGAAATGTTCCTCAATTGAGTGCTCGCTCGCCACACTCTGTGATGATCACCTTACAGACATTCGAAATCTGATTAAAACGTGCGGATGACTTTTGAGTCTGAGAAGTGTGTGTAGAGCTTGCTGTTTCAAGGAGGGAGAGAGCAGTTTGTAAATCATACATGAAGTTGTAAAGGCAGAACTTGTGTAGTGTAAAAGTGACTGGATGTCTTTCTGTTCGTATTGTAACCTGTGTGTTCGTGTCCTCCCTCCAGCTGAGTTCATGCCCATCCTGGGACTCAACCTGAACCCAGAGTTTATCTCGGTGTGTAACAACGCCACCTGGGCCATTGGAGAGATCGCCATGCAAATGGGTAAGTGCTTATTGTTAAATAATAAACCCTTTTTGTCTGCTTATTTGAATATAAAGCCCAGTATCTGGATATGATGAAAAACCCTTTATTGAAAAAAGATGATGCGTTTGTTTTAATTTCTGATCCAGATATGCCAAATGATGTTTAGCTAAGTGGCACAGTTGAGTGTTTGCCATTTAAGTCTGTGCAAACCACACTGCCAATGTTTTTTCGCTTTGCCATTCATTGTTTTTAGTACATGAAAAATGTCCTTTTCCTCATGACAGAAGGTTTCTAAAAGTTGTAATACATTCCACCAAACGTGGAACGAGAACACATGGGCTCAATAATCAAGTCCAGTATATTTAACCTGTGTTAAATCAATGTTCTTCTAGGTGCAGAGATGAAGCCGTACATGGGCATGGTTCTGCCAAACCTGGTGGAGATCATCAACAGACCCAACACACCCAAGACTTTGCTGGAAAACACAGGTACACACACTGTCAGACACAGTTTAGGTTGTATGTACTTCAAACGTTGGGAAGCATTTGAGTGTCAGGGGGAGTTGACGTTAACTTGTTTCGTCTCCCTGTGTGCAGCCATTACCATCGGCAGACTGGGTTACGTCTGTCCCCAGGAGGTGGCGCCACAGCTGCAGCAGTTCATCAGACCATGGTGAGTTTATTGTCATTCTGATGTCATGAAATCACAAGTTTACTGATATTAAAATGAGACACTCTTCACTTTTCTGTTTTGAATCCCAGTAGCCCTTATTGCAATACATTTGTATGAACTTTAATTCAGAAAGGACAATTCTTTTTGGTTTACAGAAGAAAAGGAAGTCATTGGGACAAAATATGGATGAATAAACCTTCCACTTTTGTCCACCCCCTTTGCCAGGTGCACATCGTTGAGGAATATCCGAAATAACGAGGAGAAGGACTCGGCCTTCAGGGGGATCTGCGTGATGATCGGTGTGAACCCTGCAGGCGTGGTGCAGGTGAGCAGATGTGTAATAAAAGCTGTAGATGCTACAGAGGACGTCCAGCTGACTCCTTTCTGGAAATGATGACACACCCAGCTCATTGATTTATAATGATACCTTATGTTCCTATATTTTCTGATCCAGAATCACACTTTACACCCCTGACCCTGTTCATTTGAGCTCTGAATTTACTCTCAACCTCTTGTCTCTCTCTTTCTCTCTCTCTCTCTCTCCAGGACTTCATTTTCTTCTGTGACGCTGTGGCCTCCTGGGTCAACCCCAAGGACGACCTGAGAGACATGTTTTATAAGGTGAGAGCCTCGTCATCAGGAGTACCATCACTGTTCCCATCTTTTTACACTCAAGGACCTTATGTTAGACGATTAATGTTTTCAATGAAATGTTCCTCAATTGAGTGCTCGCTCGCCACACTCTGTGATGATCACCTTACAGACATTCGAAATCTGATTAAAACGTGCGGATGACTTTTGAGTCTGAGAAGTGTGTGTGTAGAGCTTGCTGTTTCAAGGAGGGAGAGAGCAGTTTGTAAATCATACATGACGTTGTAAAGGCAGAACTTGTGTAGTGTAAAAGTGACTGGATGTCTTTCTGTTCGTATTGTAACCTGTGTGTTCGTGTCCTCCCTCCAGCTGAGTTCATGCCCATCCTGGGACTCAACCTGAACCCAGAGTTTATCTCGGTGTGTAACAACGCCACCTGGGCTATTGGAGAGATCGCCATGCAAATGGGTAAGTGCTTGTGCTTATTGTTAAATAATAAACCCTTTTTGTCTGCTTATTTGAATATAAAGCCCAGTATCTGGATATGATGAAAAACCCTTTATTGAAAAAAGATGATGCGTTTGTTTTAATTTCTGATCCAGATATGCCAAATGATGTTTAGCTAAGTGGCACAGTTGAGTGTTTGCCATTTAAGTCTGTACAAACCACACTGCCAATGTTTTTTCGCTTTGCCATTCATTGTTTTTAGTACATGAAAAATGTCCTTTTCCTCATGACAGAAGGTTTCTAAAAGTTGTAATACATTCCACCTATCGTGGAACGACAACACATGGGCTCAATAATCAAGTCCAGTATATGTCATTTAACCTGTGTTAAATCAATGTTCTTCTAGGTGCAGAGATGAAGCCGTACGTGGGCGTGGTTCTGCCAAACCTGGTGGAGATCATCAACAGACCCAACACACCCAAGACTTTGCTGGAAAACACAGGTACACACACTGTCAGACACAGTTTAGGTTGTATGTACTTCAAACGTTGGGAAGCATTTGAGTGTCAGAGGGAGTTGACGTTAACTTGTTTCGTCTCCCTGTGTGCAGCCATTACCATCGGCAGACTGGGTTACGTCTGTCCCCAGGAGGTGGCGCCACAGCTGCAGCAGTTCATCAGACCATGGTGAGTTTATTGTCATTTTGATGTCATGAAATCACAAGTTTACTGATATTAAAATGAGACACTCACTTTTCTGTTTGAATCCCAGTAGCCCTTATAGCAATACATTTGTATGAACTTTAATTAATTCAGAAAGGACCATTCTTTTTGGTTTACAGAAGAATAGGAAGTCATTGGGACAAAATATGGATGAATAAACCTTCCACTTTTGTCCACCCCCCTTTCCCAGGTGCACATCGTTGAGGAATATCCGAGATAACGAGGAGAAGGACTCGGCCTTCAGGGGGATCTGCGTGATGATCGGTGTGAACCCTGCAGGCGTGGTGCAGGTGAGCAGATGTGTAATAAAAGCTGTAGATGCTACAGAGGACGTCCAGCTGACTCCTTTCTGGAAATGATGACACACCCAGCTCATTGATTTATAATGATACCTTATGTTCCTATATTTTCTGATCCAGAATCACACTTTACACCCCTGACCCTGTTCATTTGAGCTCTGAATTTACTCTAAACTTCTTGTCTCTCTCTCTTTCTCTCTCTCTCTCTCTCCAGGACTTCATTTTCTTCTGTGACGCTGTGGCCACCTGGGTCAACCCTAAGGACGACCTGAGAGACATGTTTTATAAGGTGAGAGCCTCGTCATCAGGAGTACCATCACTGTTCCCATCCTTTCACACTCAAGGACCTCATGTTAGATGATTAATGTTTTCAATGAAATGTTCCTCAATTGAGTGCTCGCTCGCCACACTCTGTGATGATCACCTTACAGACATTCGAAATCTGATTAAAACGTGCGGATGACTTTTGAGTCTGAGAAGTGTGTGTAGAGCTTGCTGTTTCAAGGAGGGAGAGAGCAGTTTGTAAATCATATATGAAGTTGTAAAGGCAGAACTTGTGTAGTGTAAAAGTGACTGGATGTCTTTCTGTTCGTATTGTAACCTGTGTGTTCGTGTCCTCCCTCCAGCTGAGTTCATGCCCATCCTGGGACTCAACCTGAACCCAGAGTTTATCTCGGTGTGTAACAACGCCACCTGGGCCATTGGAGAGATCGCCATGCAAATGGGTAAGTGTTTGTGCTTATTGTTAAATAATAAACCCTTTTTGTCTGCTTATTTGAATATAAAGCCCAGTATCTGGATATGATGAAAAACCCTTTATTGAAAAAAGATGATGCGTTTGTTTTAATTTCTGATCCAGATATGCCAAATGATGTTTAGCTAAGAGGCACAGTTGAGTGTTTGCCATTTAAGTCTGTGCAAACCACACTGCCAATGTTTTTTCACTTTGCCAATGTTCTTCTAGGTGCAGAGATGCAGCTGTACGTGGGTGTGGTTCTGCCAAACCTGGTGGAGATCATCAACAGACCCAACACACCCAAGACTTTGCTGGAAAACACAGGTACACACACTGTCAGACACAGTTTAGGTTGTATGTACTTCAAACGTTGGGAAGCATTTGAGTGTCAGGGGGAGTTGACGTTAACTTGTTTCGTCTCCCTGTGTGCAGCCATTACCATCGGCAGACTGGGTTACGTCTGTCCCCAGGAGGTGGCGCCACAGCTGCAGCAGTTCATCAGACCATGGTGAGTTTATTGTCATTCTGATGTCATGAAATCACATGTTTACTGATATTAAAATGAGACACTCTTCACTTTTCTGTTTTGAATCCCAGTAGCCCTTATTGCAATACATTTGTATGAACTTTAATTCAGAAAGGACAATTCTTTTTGGTTTACAGAAGAATAGGAAGTCATTGGGACAAAATATGGATGAATAAACCTTCCACTTTTGTCCACCCCCCTTTCCCAGGTGCACATCGTTGAGGAATATCCGAGATAACGAGGAGAAGGACTCGGCCTTCAGGGGGATCTGCGTGATGATCGGTGTGAACCCTGCAGGCGTGGTGCAGGTGAGCAGATGTGTAATAAAAGCTGTAGATGCTACAGAGGACGTCCAGCTGACTCCTTTCTGGAAATGATGACACACCCAGCTCATTGATTTATAATGATACCTTATGTTCCTATATTTTCTGATCCAGAATCACACTTTACACCCCTGACCCTGTTCATTTGAGCTCTGAATTTACTCTCAACTTCTTGTCTCTCTCTCTCTCTCTCTCTCTCTCTCTCCAGGACTTCATTTTCTTCTGTGACGCTGTGGCCTCCTGGGTCAACCCTAAGGACGACCTGAGAGACATGTTTTATAAGGTGAGAGCCTCGTCATCAGGAGTACCATCACTGTTCCCATCCTTTCACACTCAAGGACCTCATGTTAGATGATTAATGTTTTCAATGAAATGTTCCTCAATTGAGTGCTCGCTCGCCACACTCTGTGATGATCACCTTACAGACATTCGAAATCTGATTAAAACGTGCGGATGACTTTTGAGTCTGAGAAGTGTGTGTAGAGCTTACTGTTTCGAGGAGGGAGAGAGCAGTTTGTAAATCATACATGAAGTTGTAAAGGCAGAACTTGTGCAGTGTAAAAGTGACTGGATGTCTTTCTGTTCGTATTGTAACCTGTGTGTTCGTGTCCTCCCTCCAGCTGAGTTCATGCCCATCCTGGGACTCAACCTGAACCCAGAGTTTATCTCGGTGTGTAACAACGCCACCTGGGCCATTGGAGAGATCGCCATGCAAATGGGTAAGTGCTTGTGCTTATTGTTAAATAATAAACCCTTTTTGTCTGCTTATTTGAATATAAAGCCCAGTATCTGGATATGATGAAAAACCCTTTATTGAAAAAAGATGATGCGTTTGTTTTAATTTCTGATCCAGATATGCCAAATGATGTTTAGCTAAGTGGCACAGTTGAGTGTTTGCCATTTAAGTCTGTGCAAACCACACTGCCAATGTTTTTTCACTTTGCCATTCATTGTTTTTAGTACGTGGAACGACAACACATGAGCTCAATAATCAAGTCCAGTATATGTCATTTAACCTGTGTTAAATCAATGTTCTTCTAGGTGCATAAGTTGAATTCTTAAAAAAGTTAAACCACTGTCCTTTTAAACTCTCAATTTTAAACCTATCGATTTACTGAGTTTATTCGGCATCCATTACTGTTTTCTTTTTTCTTTTCCAAGATCTTGCATGGCTTCAAGGACCAGGTGGGGGAGGAGAACTGGCAGCAGTTCTCAGAGCAGTTCCCACCTCTGCTGAAGGAGCGGAAATGCAGGAAATGTGCACAAATAGTTTGCACCTTTTTCCAAGAAATTGCATAAACCATTTGGTGTGCATATACATGGGTCTTCTCTTTTCACATGTACATTTAGCTGAATTTAATTTCCTTCCTCTTCCCTCAGTTACTGAGTTCCTCTCCAATCATAGGCCTCTTGTTTTCCTCTTCGTTTGAGGCTAAAGAAGACGCAGTAGGACTAAGGTTTTACCACCGCAGTACCAAGCTATTGCATGGCATATGATCACCTCTTAAGTGACGCATGTTTAAGTGAATGTTGGTCTTGTTGCTCACTTGATTTATTATTTGGTTGTTTTTAAAACAAATTATTTTGATGCACATGTGACAGTTTTGTTTTTATTAATTAATTTTGTTTCTGATTTTGTTTTTTGTGCCCCAGTGCATACATTTATTTTTTACTTTAAATGTTTTTATTTTTTATTTAAAGAATAATTTGTTTTCGTTGTTTTATAGCGGACCATTTGATTATGTTGTGGTTGGACTGAAGGAGGGTCGGTGCTTGCTATGCTTGGTGCATACCTTAGGGAAGAATGTGGAAAAACTAATTCATAACTTTTTTTTCAATCTGATATCAAGGCTGGTAATTGAATTCAATGTAGTACCTTATTTTTTGCTCAACTGTGGTGCAGATGGGATGTTATCCAACGTATCTTTTTATTTAATTTTCTGTGAATAGGGGGAAATAAATTGTTTCCTAATAAGATTTGAGTCGTCTGAAGTTTTGTATTCTGTTTTATCAACTGAATCTGTTTGGGCCTGACTGGAAACTACCATGCAGATGGCTCTTGGTTCCTGTTCAGCTGGGAGGAGTTTCACTTGTTTTACAAATGAACTAAGATGAAATTCCAGTATACATTAAAAACCTAATTAATAAAAATTATTTACTCAATTTTTTTGTACACAGTGCATCCAACTGAAATATTGAATTTATCTTGGAAGTGTTCCCTGGGATTATTTTAGATCCAATCTGAAGAAGTTAAAGACATGTCCAAAAGATACACTTAAAAGCAAGCAGAGGTTGGAGAAGTACTCTGATCTTGTACTTGATTAAAGTACCAGAGTTTAGGAGTACTCTGTTACAAGTAAAAGTCCTGCATTCCAAATGTACTCATTATGCAGATTGATCCATTTCAGAATAATATATATGATATGTTTAGATTATAATTATTGATCATTAAAGTGTTAAAGCTGGTAAAGGTGCAGCTAGTTTCAATGACTTTGTATGCTGCAGGGTAGCTTGTGGATTTACTCCAGTTAGAACTAAAGTCTGATTTAAGAGTTGATTATATTTCACATCATTAATCCAAATCTGCAAAGTAACTAAAGGTATTAAATCTAGTGGAGTAAAAGTACACGATTTACTTCTAAATAGTAGTGGAGTAAAATAACAAAGTAGTATCAACTTGAAATACTCAAGTAAAGTACAAGTATCTCAAAATTCTACTTCAGTACAGTACTTGAGTAAATGTATTTCCCAGCTCTGAAAGTAAGTGTATCTGTATCAAACTAAGTTGAATATCATATGCAGTGTAAAAATAAAATGTGACAGACATTTAAACGCAAATGTTACAGCTTTCCTAATTAGTCCAACATCTGCTATTTGTCCATAAATGTTCATTACCTTGGTTGGTTATTGGCTAATGGTTACACAAGCCAAAACATCGTTATGACAAAGTGTCCCAAATCTGATCAGCTCATTTTCAGACAGGTTTTTATATAAATGGATCAGGACAAAAAGTGAGCAAATCTTTTTTCCTGAAACTTTCAGAATCTCTTTACACAGAGGGGACACATGTTTATGTATAAAAGACATGAACAAGTGTATTTTGCATGATAGGTCCCCTTTAAAGTTTCAAACTAACTTCCTTCCTTTCTTCCTTTTCTCAGCTAATAATGAGCTTGTGTTTTATCCCATTGGTGGTTTTAAAATGTGACAAGCTCATACACAGGTTTGCAATTATAGTTAACTTCAGAAAACTAAACCCTAACCACAGGCAACACTGTTTCCTCTCCCCCGTCATACGTTTATTGAACTTAAAACAGACGATGGTGGAGTAGAAGGTCTCCAGCGGGTGTGGTTAAGCTGGAAGGACAGGATAAACAGATGGAGGGTGTTGAAGTAAACTGATTATACAAGAAATGCGCATGGAGATAGTTGTTAAACCTGCAATGTATGTCATATTATAATCAGGAAATGAACACAGGAAAAACAAGAAGTACGGGGGGACAACATTAAGGGTAGCCTAAGCTTGTTAAGGTTGGTTAGAGGTGTGAGTAACATCTTAAAGCCAGGCCAGCATCCTTCAGAGACCATCTGTCAGCCAGGTAAGGTTTTTCAAAATCGGGGTGCCTTTTTTGTGACAGACATTTAAACGCAAATGTTACAGCTTTCCTAATTAGTCCAACATCTGCTATTTGTCCATAAATGTTCATTACCTTGGTTGGTTATTGGCTAATGGTTACACAAGCCAAAACATCGTTATGACAAAGTGTCCCAAATCTGATCAGCTCATTTTCAGACAGGTTTTTATATAAATGGATCAGGACAAAAGTGAGCAAATCTTTTTTCCTGAAACTTTCAGAATCTCTTTACACAGAGGGGACACATGTTTATGTATAAAAGACATGAACAAGTGTATTTTGCATGATAGGTCCACTTTAAAGTTTCAAACTAACTTCCTTCCTTTCTTCCTTTCCTCAGCTAATAATGAGCTTGTGTTTTATAGACTGTTCACTAGTTGTTGGTAAACTCACTTTCTTGCTGACAGAAACACTTCCCAACTCTATCTGAATGAATGTTATCCATATTTAAAATAAAAATAATGGGAGAATATATTATGAAAGGGAACCTCTTTCTTATAGATGAAGAATGTGGTTTTGTCTTTCAGCAAGAAACTGTTTACTGGTTTAAGAAAAACAAACAATCTAAAGGAAGGTACACAGATTCAGTCGCCTTTCTGTTTACTGGGTTAAGAAAGAACAACAATGGAAACAAAGGTACACAGACTGCAAAAGTCAAAGCCAGGCTCATAACATCCCCTTAACAGCAAGTTGCGATCTTTTAATAATTGAAAATAATATTTTAAGGACCTGCATGGTCTGTCCCAATTCTGTGTGTAGAAGTGATGCCCTGAGTTTACATTTAACATTGTGGTTTTGTTTTGACAGTTTAATCCCACAGGCCATAACACAGTTTAATGCCTGAGCTCTGTTAAGCCACTATAAACAGTATTTCATTTTACTGTACACATTTTAATTCTGTATCTCTTATTTTATTTTCATGTATATAGACTCCAGCTTTTACTTGGTAGCTTACAACATCCTCTCCATTATTTAGCTTATTGTATTTATTTATTTTTCTGACATTTATATAGTTTACTTAATTTGCATCACTTGCACATTGGTCTTGCAACACAATATGCATTATTTTATTCTTATCTACTCTGTTTCTTCTTGCACTATTTTTATTTTATTGTTTAAAGTCTTATATAATTATATTGCAATGTTGGAGGAACTTAAAGGTGGGGTAGGTACGTTTGAGAAACCGGCTCGAGATCGCTAGAATTTGAAAATACACAACCGGAGAAAATCTGCCACTTCCTTATAGAGCCCCTCCTCCAACACACAAACGCGCACATGACCAATGAGGGCACGAGATAAGTTTGTGCACAGATGGAACTGACAGGCAGGTAGGCCATCCAGTTATTTTAGCCGGGCCGGCTAAAATGATTGGTCGGACAGTATTACGGCTTCCACAGATGACATTTTTTAATGGATTTTTTGTCAAAGCACTTAAGATATTCATTGCTATCGGGATGTTAAGAGCATTCCATGGAATATAACAAAAAGTGTATCTCGAGCCGGTTTCTCAAACTTACCTACCCCACCTTTAAGTGCTTTGACAAAAAATCAATAAAAAAAAATGTCATCTGTGGAAGCCGTAGCACTGTAAAAAGCACGACCAATCATTTTAGCCGGCCTGGCTAAAATAACTGGATGGCCTACCTGCCTGTCAGCCTTCCATCTGTGCACACATTTATCTCGTGCCCTCATTGGTCACGTGCGCGTTCGTGTGTGTTGGAGGAGGGGCTCTGTAAGGAAGTGGCAGATTTTTTCCGGTTGTGTATTTTCAAATTCCAGCGCACTCGAGCTGGTTTCTCCAAAATCACCTACCCCACTTTTAAAGGTAGGGCACAGATGGAAAGCTGACAGGCAGGTAGGCCATCCAGTTATTTTAGCCGGGCCGGCTAAAATGATTGGTCGTGCTTTTTACAGTAGCCTATTACGGCTTCCACAGATTAATTTTTTTTTATGGTTTTTTCGTCAAAGCACTTTTTTATTATTCATTGCTATCGGGATGTTAAGAGCATTCCATGGAATATAACAAAAAGTGTATCTCGAGCCGGTTTCTCAAATGTACCTACCCTTTAAGATTTTCATTGCCATTTCTATCTGTATACTGCACATTCTTTTTCATTTAATCGTTTATTTAGCAGGGACAATGCACATTAATGAACACTTAAAACAACAACAAAATGCAAATAGTGTAAATATGCCGGATTTTAGTTTGGAGCTAATTTCCATCCGCAATCCCTCACATAAAACATTTAAGAACAATTATTCACATAGCAAAAACAAATACATGATATGCAAAAAGTGCAAAAGAGCAGCATACACAAGTATTTACCACATGGCAGTACAATCTAGCAGCAACGACATATACAGTGCAAGATAAGATACAAGAGCTACCTAAAGTGCAAGAGGAGATACCCCTGTGTTAAAGTGCATTTAGCGATGATTGCACGTCTGTTTGTTTCTCAACCATTCTTTGAGTGGAGTCGACCTTTAAAACTATTGAGAGTGGGACAATCCCGTATCTCAGTTGGGAGGCTATTCCACAATGAGCTGAATGGAAAGTACATTTTGGTTTTGACAATAAAAACTTTGAATCTTGTTAAAAATAATAATAATCGAAGAAGAATGCTTAGACAGTGTAAAAATACTCTTTTACATGTAAAAGTCCTGCACACAAAACCTTACCTAAACAAAAGTACACAAGTAATGTCATTGAAATATAGTTAAAGTAGAAAAAGTAAAGCATTAATTGTCCCATTTTAGAATCATACATATTATATTACTGGATTATTAGTTACTCCTAAATCTTGAGATACACAGCTTTAGTTTCATGCATTATCAATAGAAACTAAATAACCACACTGTTTCCTCTCCCCCGTCATACGTTTATTGAACTTAAAACAGACGATGGTGGAGTAAAAGGTCTCCAGCGGGTGTAGTTAAGCTGGAAGGATAAACAGATGGAGGGTGTTGAAGTAAACTGATTATACAAGAAATGTGCATGGAGATAGTGGTTAAACCTGCAATGTGTCATAAGAATGAGAAGGGAGCATGTCGTATTAGAATCAGGAAATGAACACAGGAAAAACAAGAAGTACGGGGAGACAACATTAAGGGTAGCCTAAGCTTGTTAAGGTTGGACAATCAACACTTTAAAACAACTGTGTTTAAATTATAGTTAGATCTGATATTTATTTTATTGATTTCTATTGATTTCAGAGTTGTAGCGCACCACTGAGTGCTGCTGAAAAGCATAAAATGAGACAACTAATACAATATGTACCATTGATGCCTGAGCTGGCCTTATCATTTTTTATTTTGTTGATGGCGTTGTGCTTGCTGGACTCC